AATGGGCAGCCTGTTTTCCCACTCTCAAATCTGCTGGGACTGGTGAGCCCTGTGACTGATAACTTGCGGTGGAGGTGACACTGTGCGAGCTCCACACGAAGTCATCGAGAGGAACTATGACCCCCCTCTTGCTACGCTAAGACCACTGCGTGAAAGAGGCTGAGCTCTTGGAGCTCTTCTCCTCTTGGAGAAGGAGAGGCCGTGTGGAAGACAACTGAGGCCCCAGCCACCAACCAAGCACCCACTAGACCTGTGATGGAGGCCATCTTCAATCATCCAGCACTGGGTGATCTGTCAGGTGACCCCAGATACATGAGAGAGCCCAGCAGAGACCAAACCAGCTCAGACCAGAATAAACACCCAGCCAACCCATAGACTGGTGAATAATTGCAAGATGGTTGTTGTAAGCCACTAAGTCTTGGTGTGGTTGTTATGCAGCAAAAGCTGACTGATGCACTCTGCTACACTGCCTCTGTATTCTAAATAAATGGCTCTTCCCATGACCTCCACCACCTGCTGTCAACTGGCTCCAAGTCATCTGTCACCTGCTCACCAATACATAGGACATGGAGAACACAGAGAAGCTAAGGATATTATTGAAAGTCACACAGTAATAGTCTAAACCAGGGGTTGGCAAACTACAGCCCATGAGCTAAATCTGGCCCACTGACTGTTTTTGTAAATAAAGTTTTATCGGAACACAGCCACACTCACTCATTCACATATTACCTATGGCTGCTTTGGGGCTACCGTGGCAGAGCTGAGGAGCTGAGGCGATGTGGCCCCAGAGCCTAAAATATTTACTGTGTTGTCCCTCACAGAAAAAGTTTACAACCCCTAGTCTAGACTTAATACCCTCAACGCTATGACAATAGTTCTCCAAGTGTGGTCCCCGGACGAGCAGAATTAACTTCACTTGTTAGAAATGCCATCCTCGGTCCTCACTCCAGATCTATGGGGTCAGAAATGCTGGAGGTGGGGTCCAGCAATCTTGTTTTAGGAAGCCCCCCAGGTGATAAGACAACAAAACACAACCACCTTTGATTACAGGAATCTTTGATTACAGGTGACAGTTGATCTCCATATTTGAAAAGCATCTTCTTTTATCCTCACTCCCAGCCTTTTGGGGAGCAAAAATTGCCTGGAAGCCTTATTTTACTAGTTTAATCGGCCTTCAACAAGATTCGAGACCAGCTCAGAGTCACTCAACAAAACATCTGCGGTCTCCCGAGAGCCGTGGCTGAGAAGGTGTGTGAGGGGCTGTTCTGTGGCTTCGGAGAATGGAGTCAAACCTTCCTCCCGTGCCCCTCCAAAATAAATTAAGCATTTGCAAAGGCGTACAGGTGTTTGGAGTGTTTTTATGGTGCAAAACCAGTCAGAACAACACCAAGCCCTTACGTTTAAGTAACAAAGTCTGAGTGAATAACCAGCTCGTCTTGATTTGTCTCGATTTTCCTCGTTTTAATGTGGAAAGAATCATGTTCCCTGGAAACCCCTTGGTCCTGGGCAAGCTGGGACAGTTGTCCCTCTGTGTCTGGGATTTAAAAGGCCAGGCTTGGGGCCGGCCCGGTGGTGCAGCGGGTTAAGTGCACGCACTCCGCTTTGGCGGCCTGGGGTTCAGAGGTTCGGATCCTGGCGCGCACCAACGCACCGCTTGTCAAGCCATGCTGTGGCATCGTCCCACATAAAGTGGAGGAAGATGGGCACGGATGTTAGCTCAGGGCCGGTCTTCCTCAGCAGAAAGAGGAGGATTGGCAACAGATGTTAGCTCAGGGCTGATCTTCCTCACGAAAAAAGAAAAAATAAAATAAAATAAAAGGCCAGGCTTCCCTGAGGCAAGGCCAGCACGCGCAGGGGATACAGTGGCCAGTCTCGTCAATGAGCATTTGCGGACGCTGAGGTGCAGAGCCGAAAGGTGGGGCCCAAGGTTATCGGTCAGATTAGTACAAAGGCAGTCACCACCCAGGGTGGGGAGTCTACAGTGGGGTTCCCAGTAGGCTGGGGGCCCCGGGAGCCTCAGGGACCCACAGGGCCGTCTGAGCCAGCCAGGGCATGGGCATCACATCGAATCAAGAATCCCAAGAGAGTCTTCTGCTGTAGGCCACTGTGTTCCTGGACCAGGGTCTCCAGCACTGAGGTGATCAGCTGTCATGTCTCCCACTCAACCACGAAGCCCGATTTCCACACGAGGTGCAGTTCTTCAGGCTGCGACGAGCGTTTGCAGTTCATCCCCCCACAGCTTCCAGCAAACCCCACTACCAACCCCAATGGTCAGAAATAGAGATTCCTCAGATCTACGCTGTTTTCCCTTTCCCGGAGTGCTGCACCCTGAGATCCAAACAGGGAAAGGGATTATCATTGTTTTTCTTTTTTGTGCTATTTTATGAAGATGTATTGTGCAACAAGAGACATGTACATTTTAGAGATGACTACTTGTTTTAATAAATAAGTTAATACCCACCACCTGATGTGAAGAGAGTGCCATCCACACCTCTGTGCACCCCTCCCCGTTGTATCTCCCTCCCTCCCTCCCAGAGCTAACATCACCCTGAAGTTTGTGTTAATTCTCTTGCTTTCCTTTACAGTTTTCTCACACCTGGATTTAGCCCTAAGAAGATATTGTTTGGTTTGCCTGCTCTTGAACATTATGTGAATGGAATAATCACCCAGACGTTTCTTCTATGGCTTGTTTATTTCATTCGACCTTAGGAGACTTCCCATGTTGATGCACATGACTGTGGTTCATTCTTCGCCACTGTATAGTATTCCATATTCCACTGTATAGATGTATGTTAATTTGAGCCAACGGATGTGTTTGAATAACAACAGATGGCTGACAAACTGTCCCATGAGGAGGATGCCCCCCTTTATCTTGAGGACTTGATGAGGTGTGCAGGTTGGGGCCAGAGCTGAATTTGGGGGTGATCCAGGTGAGGCTCAGCCCTGCCATGAGCTGTACTCCCCTCTTCTCCCTCACAGCACTCGGCCTCTCCCTAAACAAACTCTGGTCAATTATTTAAACAATGTGGCCCAAAGGGACGTCACCTTGTTCTCCTAGGAAGCCACCCTTCTTGGTCTAGTCCAGAAGACACCAGACTTACGTATTTAAAATTAAGTATTTATTTGCACGAGTAATATATGTCAATAATGCAAGACCTTCCAAAGAGTATAGCATCAGAAGAGAGCTTCTGGCTCAGTCTCTTCCTGCCAGGACCCCAGGTCCCGCACCCAAGAGTGCAGCCAACAGCGCAGCGCGGGACGGTGCCCGCCTTCCAGACACTATATTGTACTCTTTGATTTTTCATACGGGTAGCTTAAGTTCCTGTGTGCCCTGGGTGTCCCCTGGTGGCCCTTCACTTGAACACAATTCTTATGGATCTCGCTCTCAAATCCAGGTTCCAGAAAGCACATAGTTTCACTTACTATCCCTTCTGCAGCAAACTTACCCTAACACAATACACAGCAATTTAACAACATTAGAAGAGAAGGTTTTTCAAGTGCAATGGTAAAAGAGAGAGGCAGTTTCAAAACATTCGTACTTAAATGTCCACTCTGGGTCCTGAGAGAATAGGAATATGCAATTTCTGTCCTGTAGAAGCAATGAGTCCATCGAGTGCAGGGGTCCACAGACTATGGCCCCAGGGGCCAAATCTGGCCTGCCATCTGTTTTGGTAAATAAAGTTTTATCGGAACACAGCCACGCCCATTTGTTTGCATATGGCCTGTGGCTGCTTTCTCATTACAAAGGCGGAGTCGAGTGGCTGCGACTGAGACCCTACGGCCCACAAGGGCTAAAGTATTTGCTAGCTGACCCTTTTCAGAAAAAGCGTGCCCACCCCTGGTTAAGTGGGTCCACAGAGAGACCTATGACAATGAGCTGTTGTCAGCTTGGAAAGAAGCTTCCCACGTGGATCTCATTTTCCATCAATTCGTTCATTCAAAAAACTGTTGCAGACCTATTATGTGGCAGACATTGTGTCTGGGCAGAAAAGATTCCTGATATTTTCAAACTTGAAGAGCTCTAGTATATTCAATTTGGGCAATGTTGTTCCAGTTCCTAGCATTTTCCACCCAAAACAGCTTTTCATGCACTCTCGTTGGCTTTTCCCACCGAGTCCACCATCCAGACCAAGGGTTCACCATTTCGGCACAGACGCCCCTTCTCTGCTAGACTGAAATCTGTCCTGGGCCCCATCTCCACCTTCACCTGTATCTCCTGATAATGTTGGAGCCAAGTTCATCTTCGACAGAGCGTGTCAACGGTGAGGTGTCAATTCCGGCCTGGACAGTCCCCGTAGGAGGAGGAGGAACCAGCACATTGACAAGATCTGGGTCCAGTTACACTCCAGTTGTTGTGTAGTCCAGACTCTGCTCCACTGAGGCTTAGACCTCCATTAGGGACTTCCCCATTTTCAGAAGTGTCACCCTGGCTGTGTCGCTGGTGAGAAATGCAAATGCTTGTGAATTTCAAATGCATACTTGGAAGAAAATTCCCACACATTTTCATTTACCAGCAGCTATCAGCAGCACAAGGTGGAGCCTTCTCCTCAGAGCCTTAGTTTCGACGAAGCCTTAGTTTCGACGTGGACTTACTGGTCTGTGTTTAGACATGCTAACAGAGACCCACACCACGTTCCTGTTTCTGCCAGGAGCCCCCCGGTGCTGGGACCTAGGAACCTGCAGATGTGCACACACACACACAGAACGTACAGAATTCCAGATGCTTTTAGAATTGAATTCTGTGGGACCACAGGAGTAATTTGGTTCCATCCCCACCTAGAAAGAAGTCTTTTTTAATAGCTGGAGGAAGAAGGGAAAAAGAAGCATCAAGAGAAAACACAGCACATGATAACTGTGTTTCACTGTTCAGGTGAGAGTTTTCAAGGAATGGTTTAAGTAGAATTTCAGCTTTGGGTGAAACCATTAATTTTCCTACATAACAAACTTAAAACTCTCAAAGCACACCTTGCTCACGATTCTCCAACCGTCCTCTCTCTCACCTTTGCGTCCTTGGAAGAGATGTGGCATCGAAGGGCCTGGTTCTCAAGGGGGTTTGTGTCTATTCAGCAATTGTCGGTCTTGCTCAGAGACATTTCCTCTTCCTATTTAAAAAAAGGAAGAAGGTTCCAAAGGACTCTAATTAAGCAGTGAAAGCATCTGGGCCAGACCAGAGCTGCTGAAACAAAGAACTGTGTGAAAACCATCTACCATGCGAGCCACTAGCCACCTCTCCCTCCCTCCCCATCAGGGAACGGACTCTCTGTACAACTGAGTGGTCCGGTTAACGGAAACTTCATAGAACACCATGTTTTTAAACACAGAAGCATCCTAAAGGAAATTACAGACCTCTCTTCCTTCTTAAACAAGGATGCTGGGTGTTAGGTAAGCTTTCCTCAGTGGCTTGGGGCCACCACTATGCACAACAATCGCACTGTGCTGTAATACAGCAGTGACCTCAGGAGCCTTGCACTGGGACACCAGTCCCAGCCTGAAGTGGCCCTGGCGTGTCATCTTTAGTTTGTATGTTTGCCTTTCTACTTTTTCTATGTCCTCCCTTACGGTTATTTTGGGCCTTCTGAGCATCTGTTCTGCTGCAAGAGAACAGGGACCCCAGCCCCCGGCCGGACCTCCCTGAGGCCTTCGCCTGGATGGAGAATCCTGGGCGCTGGAGAGGGAGCTTGACTGCTGGGCAGAGTTGCCCTCAGCCCCGGGCAGGGGAGGGGGATACGCCGGGAGAGGGCCCTGGTGTCCTGGCCTGGACAAGGCAAGGATGGAAGAGGCTGCAGTTCTCCTGGAAGGAGGGCACATATCAGGTGTGGAAGGGAGCAGGGCGGCTCAGCGAGGATGTGCATTCATCCCATCCCGGAAGGGGGGTTGCAGTAATAGAAGGCCATTGGATTTCTGGACCCTGGGCTTACTCAGAGGCACCGTGGCATTGCTTCTGCCTGTCGGGAGGTGGCCATGGGGCCACAGTGGGGTAGTTGACTTTAACAGCCTTGCTTCCATATGTCAGGACCCAGTTCTTACTGCCATCTCCATGGACTCCTCGGTATGGCCACCTGGACGCTGACTCTCACCACTGGGGACTGGGACCCGACTGGAGAAATCCTCCTTTTCCTCCAAATTTGCTGCTCTAAGTGCTGAGGGCTGGGAAACTGCTGGAATTCCACGTGTAAAAAGAGACAGGAGGCTATAACCAAGAGCCTGGGAGGAGAGAGAAGTCACAGCTTCGTGATCTGGAGAAAATGACCCGGACTCGGAGCTTCTGTTTCCTCCCATGCAAGTGGGAGGAGCATCAGGCGTCAGACCTGTCTCCTAGGGTGGGGGTGAGGAGTGAGTGAGTGACCGCACGGAAAGGACTAGAAGAGGGCCTGTCCCGCAGTCTGTGCATGATAAATGTTGGTCACCATTCAGAGCACAGGCTTTGTGCCTCCTCTTTTGTCCGTCTGCTCTGGGACTCTCTGTCTCCCGGCTGACGTCACCCGAAACAAAAACTCTTTCCTTGCTATAAGCCTGGCGTTCCAGTTTTATTTGGCTCCTCTCGTGTGGCGGGTGAAGAACCTGGGTATGTATCCGGTAGCACCGTTGCCTCCTCTCCCCGGGGTCTGACACCTCTGCCGTGTGGCGGCTGGGGCCAGACAAGCAGAAGTGCCCTGCATCTCTCCTCCCTCTCCCTGGGGCCCTCACCCCAAACTTCCTGCTCTCGGCACCCTCCACCACGTGCAAATGGCCCGGAATGCCGCCGACCTCCCACACCCAGGCGCAGCCGTGTCAGCTGAAGCCCAGTCAGAGTTCCTGACATGGAGCACCTCCAAAGCCAGGATCGTCAGGACCTTGACCCCCAAGCTTTGCCGGCCAGGGTTTCCATCACGGTCGTGCATGACCTGCAGCCACGGCAGAAGCTCGGATCTGGAAATGGTCCGAGCTGTGTGCCTCGCTGCCCTTCACGCTCACGGGGCCTTCCCCTTAGACATCGATTTGGAGGGGGGGGGGGCGGGGGAGGCGTTTGAGTTGTATTTTCCCTTTTTGTTCTTTAACCCTGCGCGAACTCCTCCACGCTGCCCTGAGAAAGAATCCTTAGGTCCCAGACACGACTTCGGGGTGTGGCGGTGCTGCCGCGCAGCGTGAGCCGAGGCGGGAGCAGCTGTTTTCCCGCAAGTCTTGTAGCCAGTAAATGCATCCATGAACACCAAGAGCTATTCGTATCCCCAGGGGCTGTGGGCGTTAGGGTAAAATCCACTGGCCAGTCTTCCCCTGCTGGGCTTCCCCGAGTTTGAGTTGCCCTAGCCAAAGGGGGCTACGGGAGGTCCGGTTTGTATGTTGTTTCTCTGGAGATGAACACGTTGTTCAGTTATTTTGTCAAGAAGCTCTTTCATGCCTGGGGTGCTCATGACTTGTTAGCCACAGTATAAGGTTTCTTTTCGGCAATGGGCAGAATTATGAGCACTATTGAGAAGTCCCGGGCTGTTTGCTTGGGAACCCATATCCTCCCTCGTTGGTTTATCACCCAGCCCCTGACCTTTGGGGACCATTGGTAACCTTTCATGTGACCTCTTTTCCTTCACTGGGGGAATATTTTGGAGTAAACTCCTAGAAGGCGGTGAGGGAATCAATGGGAGTTGAAGGAGCTCTCCTGACATAGCAGCCCTTTCTGCCGCTGCATCTGCCCAGTGATTTCTTTTGTGGCCTCTGATGGCCTCCACGATGGGCCCAGCTACCTCCCTGGGGCCCTGTACTGCCTCCAGCTTCTAGGGATCTCTGGCCATATTGAATTTCTTTATTGCTGCTCCTAAGAAGTCCCCTCTCTCTCCAACGGCCCCAGGAGCGTGAATTACAGAGAAAGCGTCCTCAGAGTCAGTATATGTTGTTGGTATTTTCTCTTTCCCAATTCCAAAGCTCTTGTTAATGCAATTATTTCTGCTTTTTGAGCTGAGGTGCCTGGCGTCAGCCCCTTGGCTTCTATGGTTGCGTGCAGGGACGCCAACGCATAACCTGCTCTTCTTCGTCCATTATTCAGGAGCTGCTCCCGTCCACAAACCATCCTTCCTCAGCAGTAGACAGCGGTTCACTCTGGAGATCCTTCTGGCTGGAGTAAACCTGGTCGATCATTTCCGGAGAGGTGTGGGTAATAGGCCCGGCAGACTCAGAGTGCAGGGTGGCTGGGGTCAAGGTAGGGCGGGGATTTAGAGAGACCTGAGGGGAACCCAGCAGCACAGCTTGATACTGTAGGACTCTAGCCTGGGATAGCCGGAGATCTCCCTTAGTGTCTAGTAGGCTAGGGTCTTGATGAGGTGTCCACACCGTCATAGGTTGGCCCATAGTCAATTTTTCTGCCTCTTTGGTTAATAGGCAGGTGGCAGCTACAGCTCTCAAGCATGGGGGCCATCCTTTTGCCATGGTGTCTAGCTGCTTTGAGAAATAGGCTCCCATTCTCTCTAAAGGTCCCAACATTTGGGTTAACACTCCTAGAGCTATTCCTTTCCTCTCATGAATGTGTAGTCAAATGGTTGCTTCAGATCTGGTAAGACCAGTGCAGACGCCTCCATTAACAAGTTTTTAAGCTTATTAAAAGCTTGGTCACACAGCTTGTCCTATACAAAGGGATCTGTTTTTGGCCCCTGTAACTTGTCATAGAGGAGCTCAGTAATCAGCCCCAAACTAGGGAACCACATGCGGCAGAAGCCAGCCATCCCCAAGAATCCTCATAGCTGCCTACGTGTTCTTGGTGGAGCAAGTTGACGTATTACAGGTTTGTTCTGTAAGGTCTGGTTGACTCTTTTCTGTTAGCCAAGGCTCTGTCCAGTAATCTGGTTGCACTTTCTTCTATAGCGCCACTAGCTTTACCAGGGAAACAGCAAGATGTATTTGCCAAGGGACAGACCCCGCCCTGATCTGCCAAAACATCATGTAAAGCAACTCTATTATCGGGTACCATTTGGGCTAGGGAGTCGATAGATTTCTGCACCACCTTCAAGTTCAAGCCTGACTCATCAGCTACCATGGCCACTGTGACAGTGATTTCTTTGATAGCAACGGTTTTCTAAATGGTCCCTCCTGCTAGTGCCACTAATGACCCAATCAGGGCAATTCTCCCAGCAATCAGGAGCCCTGCTGCCCTCCTTTGTCTTTCTTTCCTGATGTGTTGAGGTGCTGAGGAGCTACGGTTATAAATCTGTATGCATTTAGGGTCTGGAAACACTCGTCCTACAGTCCAGACTCCATCAGCTCTTTTATAATCCAAACACTGGGTTGCCCATCCTTCTCTGCTGGACCCAGCTTTGCTGCCCAGTAACATACATCCTCCCTGTAAGCATACCACAACTGAGTTGCTTATAGGGTTGGTCAGGGTCTAGGGTAGAGCCTGGGGTGCATAGTCAGTCGTCCTGTAGTTGAGAGAATTTCCACCCTGGGTACTGACTTTTGATGTGATCTTTTCTAGCATCTTGTTTGACCCGGCTTTCCCAATCTTTAAAATCCTTATTGAATTGAGTCCAGTCTGTTCCAGTGGTTGCCTTGCAATAATAACCTTGCCCTAATGGTCGGCAATTTCCCATACTGTTTGTAGGCTTCTTGCGGTCTGTTACATAGGGGAGGAAGAACATGGGAAATTTCTAGTAAGGTCATTGAAGGCAGGGTCCACATTTGTACACCAGGACAGGTCTAGGGCATGGAAGCACCAAGGGGAAGATTTCCTTCTTTTATTTGTGGTGGGTTCCACTTGTATGGCTCAGAGTAGGTTATTGGTGTTAGGGTTCCCTCAGTGGGCAGTGCAATTCTTAATTACTTTTTCTGCATTTAGGGGGCTCCCCAACAGACATGTGATAGTTCTCTTGTCTAATAATTTGGGTTGCTGGTGACATAGCCAACAGTCAGCGAAGTCCCACCCCTTTTGAATGTTTTGGGTCAGATGACAAAGGAAGTTGGTTTGCCATGATCTGACAGCAGAACACAAAGCTCTGTGGATACAGAGCTACCTACACCATTCCACAAGAAACTCACCATTTTGATGTCAAGGCTCC